GGTATTTCTGTGGTGTCAGTTGTCACTTCTCTTTCATTTCTAATTTTATTTGCATGGGCCCTCTCTTTTTCCTTGGTAAGTCTGATTAATGTTTTACCAATTTTATTTCTCCTTCTAAAGAACCAACTCTTGGTTTCATTGATTGTTCCTACTATTTTCTTACACTATTTCTTTTATTTCTGCTCTCCTCTTTATTTCCTTCCTTCTACTCATTTTGGGCTTTGTTTGTTCTTTTTTCTTCCTAGTTCCCTTAGGTGTGAAGTTAGATTGTATGAGATTTTTCTTGTTTCTTGAGGTAGGTTTGTATTGCTATAAATTTCTTTCTAAGAACTGCTTTGACTATTTTCATAGATTTCGGGTGATTGTGTTGAATTTTCATTTGTCTCAAGGTATTTTATTTCCTTTGTTAACTCATTCATTAATAGCAAGTTATTTAGCTTCCATGTATTGTCCTTCAGTTTTCTTCTGTGACTCATTTCTAGTTTCATACTATTGTGATTAAAGATGACTGATAGGATTTCAGTCCTCAGAAATTTATTGAAATTTGTTTTGTGGCCACATGTTACAATTTGTTAATTGGTATTCTGGAAAGCGTTCCATGTACACTTGAAAAGAAAGTATATTTGCTGTCTTTCAGTGAAATGTCCTAAAAATATCAATTAACTCCATCTGGGCTAATGTGTCATTCAAGTCCACTGATTCTTTGTTGATTTTCTGTCTGGATGATCTATCCATTGATGTCAATGGAGTGTTAAATTCCCCTACTGTTACTATATTATCATCAATCCCTTTTTGTCCATCAATATTTACTTTCTATTTAGGTGCTGCTACATTGGGTGTGTACATCTTTACATTTTTTTTATTTTTATAATCCTCACCTGAGGGGGGACATGTATCCATTGATTTTAGAGAAAAAGGATGGTGGAGAGAGAGAAACATCGATGTGAAAGAGAAACATCCATTGGTTGCCTCCTATATACACCCCGGCCAGGGATTGAACCCAAACCTTTATATGTGTTCTGACCAGAATCACACCAGCTACCCTTTGGTGCATGCAATAATGCTCCAAACAACTGTGGCCAGGGTGAGTGTGCAGATATTTGAGTTATATGCTCTTGCTGAACTGATCCCTTTATCATGATAATGTGCCCTTCTTTGTCTCTTGATACAGCCTTTGTTTTGAGGTATATTTTGTTCAACTAGTCGGCAGTTGGTTCTCAGTGATGGTTGTTTAATAATTTAGTTGTGATTTTGATGTGGTTGTGGGAGGAAGCCTGTAGAGTTTACCTACTCTGGCATCTTGACTGGTAGTCCTGCAAATATACTTTTCCATCCTTTTATTCTCATTCAGTCTATGTATTTAAGGTTAAAGTGAGTTTCTTGTGGGCACATATTATTGAATATTGTTTTCTAATCCATTCAGCCACTCTATGTCTTTTGACTGAATAATTTAATTAATTTACATTTAAAGTAATTACTGTTAGATGAGGACTTACTATTGCCATTTAAAAAATTGTTTTCTAGTTATTTTGCAGAGCCATTGCTGTTTCTTATCCTGCTGTCTTTGTTTTTTGTTTCGATGTCTTTTGGTATCAGTTTGCTTTTTGACTTATCATATTCTTTGGTATAATCTCCACAGGTTCTTTCTCTTGTGGTTATCAGGAGACTTATATAAAGTATCTTAAAATTATAACATCCTATTTTGAATTGATAACATTGACAGCATTCCTAAACTTTAAACTTTTACTTACTGTCCCCTTTACATTTTAAATTTTTGATGTTACACTTTCCATATTGTTTACCTTGTGTGTCCAATAAGGTCACTGTAGTTACAGTTTTTGCCATTTGTTTTTAAAATTTTAAACTAGTGTTCTAAGTTAATTATGCAGTACAATTACCATATTACAGAATCTAACTATGTATTTACCATTACAATTTTTTTTTTTTTTTTTTTTTTGCTGCCTTCTAATGTGTTTTTGGTGTTTAGTGTTCTCTTCCACTTAAAGAACCCCCTTTAGCATTCCTTATATGACAGATGTATTGGTGATGCACTCCCTTAGCTTTTGCTGGTATGGGAGTTTTTGACAGGTACAGAATTCTTAGTTTACAGTTTTTTATTTCAATATTTTCAATATGTTGTTAATTGTATTAGTTTTTAGAGAACTTTTTTCTTTGCATATTTTTTCCTCCTGTGTATCTTGCTTTTTATTGCATTGATTTCTCATCTTTTTTTGTCACAGTTCAGTTGTTTTGTTTTTTTGTATATTCAGAATGTGTGATCGTCACCACTATCTACTCTAGAACATTTTAATTACCCCAAAAAGAAACTCCATACAATTAGCAGTTGTTCCTCAATGTTGTACCTCCACTTCATCCCCACCCCAGCCCCTGGTGACTGCTAATGACCTGTCTCTAAGGTTTGCTATTTCTGGATATTTAACATAAATGATGTCATATAATGAGTTTTATTTTGTGATTGGCTTCTTTAAGTATGTTGTCAAGGTTCATCCATGTTACAGTATATATCAGAAACTCAACCATTTTTATTGTCTAATACTTCATTTTTTCTATATATTATATTCATTTATCAATTCATCAGTTAATGGACAATGAGGCTGTTCCTGTTTTTGGCTAGTATGAATATTCACTTAAGAGTTTTTGTGTGAATGTTTTCATCATTTTTCTTGGGTATATACCAAGGATTTGAATTGCTGCATCATATGCTAACTCTACATTTACTTTTTTGAGGAACTGCACAACTGCTTTTCGAAAGTGACTTCATTTTACATACCCATCAACAACATGAAGGTTCCCATTTCTCTACATCTTTGTCAACATTTGTTATTGTCTCTTTCTTATTTTCAACATCCTACTGGGTATAAAATGGTTTTTATTTGAATTTCCCTAATAACTAATTATGTTGAGCATCTTGTTTATTGGCCATCTGTGTATACATACATATATACATACACATATATGATGTGTGTGTGTGTGTATGTATATATATATATCCCTTCAAATCATTTGTCCATTTAAAATGTTTTTATATTTGAGTTGAAATCCTTACATATTCTAGATACAAATTCCTTATGAGATACATGCTTTTCAAATATTTTCTATTCTATAGTTTGTCATCTCCCTTTCTTGATTGTGTCTTTTGACACACCAAGGTTTTAATTTTGAAATCTAATTTTTCTTTTGTTGTTTGTGTTTTTGGAATTCTAAGAAACCACTGCCTAACCCACAGTCATGAAGATTTACACCTATGTTTCTTCTGGGAATTTTACAGTTTCAGCTCTTACAATTAGATCTCTGATCATTTTATGTTAATTTTTATATATAGTTTGAGGTAGGAGTACAAATTCTTTCTTTTGCTTGTGAATACCTCCTTTTTAATCTTATTATTCACTTTTATTTACTTTGGATCTCTTGCTTTTGAGATGAAAGCTTAGTTTTCCAATGTTCAAACTTACTGTTTTTCTAATATATACATATTTAAAGTTACAGATTTCCTTCCAAGCATTGCTTTAGTTACATCCCATAATTTTTGTTATGTCCTATTTTCATTATCATTCAGTAAAAAGTATGTTCCAATTCCCATTTCAATTTTTCTTTGACTCTTGGGTTATTCAGAAGTGTGCTGCTTAATTGATAATCTTTTGGGATTTTCTAGACTTGCTTTGTGGTCCAGCATATAGTCAATCTATCATGGTAAGCATCCCACACGCACATGAAAATAAAACATATCCACAGTTCTTTAGTTTAGATTAGGTCAAGCTAAGGTTCTAGTCATACCACTTGGGTGACTAGAGATACCTACCTCCACAGTTTCCCCACTGAGCCTCCGGATTGAGAAACTGACGAGCCATCCTCATTGAGCACTATTCAAACTCCTGAGCCACATAACTTATAACATGATTGTTTTATGCCATGAAATTTTGGGGTAGTTTGTTATTGTAGCAATAGTAAGAAGAAAATACTATCTTTTAGGTTCAATGTCTATAAGAAAATCTATGCTTTTTCATAATCCTATGGATTTAGGACCAGAGTTAGAGAATGAATTCTGTAACAATGTCTTTCATATAGTACATTTAAAAGTAGTCAAATTAGCCCTGGCTGTGTGGCTTAGTGGACTGAGTGCCAGCCTATGAACTGAAAGGTCACAGGTTCGATTCCCAGTCATGGCACGTGTCTGGGTTGCAGGCCAGGTCTCCAGTTGGGGGCATACGAGAGGCAACCAATTGATATATCTCTCACACATCAATGTTTCCCTCCCTGTCTCCCCCCCACCCCCGCACCCTTCCCCTCTCTCTAAATGTAACTAAATAAAATCTTTAAGGAAAAAAAACAAAAGTAGTCAAACAAATAATTGGACATTTTACAGCTGCAATTCTATTAGCTGGTATCACACTCTGAACATAATATTACCAAAAGTTATACATGTAATCTTGGGCCACTAATTCCTATAAAATATATTTATTATAATTGCTAATGTCTATAAAAATAAAACATAAATAATATCCAAATAGAGATTCAGAGAAGAAATACATATTGCTATGTTGTTGAAGGAAGTTCAGTCCTGAAAGTCCTAAGAGGTACTAACAAATGTCTGCCTTGAAAGTGAAGGAAAGAAAGTACCTCTGGCTATTCACATTTCAAATTGCTGGGCAACAGACCTCTCAGAATAAATTTCATCTCTCTCTAAGATAAACAGGATGGGGCTTCTGTATTTTTGTCCAGTGGTCGAGAGAGCTGCCACCCAGGTTCTAGTACTCAGGTTCTTCTGACTGTCTGAGTGAGTAACAGAGATCCTAGGTAAACATACCATTTGGTTTTCTTTTTAAGGTGGTGTATGAGTCCATTAGATAGTTGTTCTATGCTATGCTCTAAGGGTTTCTGGGCAAAAACATTTAAAAGTATTTAAAAGTATGTTTATTCTGAGACACTATTATTCAAAAAACGCAAGCATACATTTAAAGAAAAAAAGTTTATTTAGGCCATTGACTAGGATTGTAATAAATAATGCAATATACTAATGTAATAACAGATGTTTTCATGCATTGATCATATTTATAAATTTACAAAAAACCTGGCTTACAGGGCTGTTGGGACAAACTGAGAAGAGTGTAACTGGCAATACGGTGAAAGTTAACAGTGTTAAGACTATCAAACAGATTCTTTTTCCTATCTTTTTAAAAAATACATTCTCTATATATCTGTGAATAAATGGTAATGTTCCTTTATAGTTTCTATTTTTTATAAACATGCCAGAGCTAAGCCAAATGTCAAATGATCCAAGTTGATAATTTGTTATTTATCAATATTTCTAATGTAAAACAGATTTTTAAAAAGAAATGATTAACTTTTCTGCATTTCAATGTGGAGGCAGATATACTGCAAGCCAGAATCACTTAAACAGTAATATATGCCTAAATGAAATAAAACCCCAAAATAGAAGTTTATAAATAGTAATTGATACTCAATATACAAATGCTATAGTATTAAATGATGTTTATAATTTGCTAAATGACCAATTATCTGACTGTAAAAGTGGTGAACTTTGATTAAAACTTAATTTTGCTAGTAAATTTCACATAGAGTTAAAATAGGGTAAACTTTAACATAAATAATTTAAACATATCTTAAACACTGAAAATGTGTTCTTCTGTTATTTACAATTAGTCAGTGATACCAGTGATAGCCAATTGCCAGTCTCACATCCCTCTTTCAACATCTGCTATTACAATCTTCCTTTTAAATACTTATGCAAGTCAGTTAAGTGAAGGAGAGCGATCTGTGGTCCAGAGTAATTCGATGTATGGCCATTTGGTTTGAAGACAGCGTTTAATAGGCGTGTCATCTGTTTGTAGCATGGGATCTTCAAAACCCATAATAACTGCAGTCCCTTCCACATACATTACCTGTTTAACAAAATAAAGCCATCAAGGTAAATCAATATTCTCAGCAAAATTTTATGAGGGATACAAAATTTTTCATAGGCTAGCAAATTAGGAGCCAAATATTGTTTCATATGAAACTTTATATCTGATTTTATTATGATAGGAATTATAAGTAAGACTATTTACTGACTAATGTGAAAATAAGTTTGGAAACAAGATTAAGAAACAAATTTTAACTGCTAGGTGACCAGTTGATTTTTAGATGACAGTTTATCACAAAAAAAAGCATTAAAAGATCTGAAAACATATGGTTTCTGATAAAATAAGAGTCATTCTTTGAACAACATATGCAACTTGGAAGAAATTATTTATATAACAATTTATAATTCTTAATGTTTTAATATTGAGATACTCAGATGGTCATGCTGCCTCAATAGAAGTATAGCTATATATTCTAAAGACTTAATTTTCTCTTTTCAATTTAAGCAATGATTTTCCAGAGTGGAAAGCATTTGGATATCAGACATTGAAATTTGCTATTTATTATATTAAATATTTTTGAAATGCTGATTACTATACTTTGTACTGTATGAGAAATCATGGAGAAAAATATTTTAAAGGATGTCAGGACAGAAATAAAAATCAAATAGGAAGGCTGATATATAAAACTAACCAAGTCCTTTATATACAGTGGCAATGATCATATCAAATCTAAAGTAGCAGGTAGGTATCAGAAAAAAATTTTATTCTGATTAATTTACAATAAAAATCTTTTAGAAGTATCTATGAAATACTATTTAAACCTAACTTATTATAAAGGCTCACTGTGTGCATTAAGCCATTCAGTCATTAATTTATTTTTGTCCAATTGAATTTTTAATAGAAACAGGTATTAGACTTCCTTCCTCCAAAGTATGTGTACTTATTTTTACACATTCAATGGCTGATGATATACATGATTGTAATTATGCTCTTCTAATATAAAAGTCATAAGCTATTTGACTAATGAACCAAAAGAAATCACATTATTACCCTTAAGGGTGACTTTCTTTAATAAACATAGGAATAGAGTATGTTCTATTAGTAGGTCAGATAATTTGGTTCCATCAATCTACTCCTTTTTTTAGGAAGCTCTAAAGACATACTTTAAAGTGAAATACATTTTTTCATCTTTATTTTGGTTAATATATTAGTTTGTTTCTAGTTTTCATGAAATAAATTTACTAGTAAAACTCCAACTCATGGTTTTCAATTCCCCCAAGTAAAATGAAATGTTGTCTACAAAGAATATACATAACTCAAGTTAAATTAGCTGCATGAAAAATCATGGAGAAAAAATTAAAAAGGATGTCAGGACAGAAACAAAAAACAGAGAGAAAGGTTGATATACAAAGCTAACCACGTACTTTATATGCAGTGGCAATGACCATATCAAATATAAACTGGCAGGTGAGAATCAGAAAACAGTTTCATTCTGATCACAGCAGAGCTGCCTGGGCAAAGTACCGTGACCTACCTCTACGGCCTGAGCCTGTCTGTGCCGGCTGCTGAGTCCTGCTCCCTCCCACTTGACCAGTTTTCTCCTTTTGTTTCCTTAGATACTTTTAACAGAATCTTACTAGATGGTCTACCATATTTCTAGCTCCTAAGTAACTTCATAACATTATACCTCTGCAACTTAATGACAAACATGCTTTACTTTATAGTTCTTACATACTATCATCACGTTAATATTTCAATTTCTGATCTTTTTGTTAGTATGTCAGACGCTTGTCATAAGCATGATTTGAAAACTTACTATACACAGGTAGCGTGACCAAGGACAGGATTGGGAATCAGGAACTCAGTTCCAATCCCTGCTCTGCCAGTGACTTCCTGTGTGACCCTGGGTGAGTCACTTAATCTCCCTGTCTCAGATGCCTCATCTGTAAAATATGGATAATATTTGACTGACCTACTTTGCAGGGATCGTGTGAGTAATTAGTGACTCTAAAATACCTCCTATTACCAAGGCTATGTAAAATTTCAAAATCTACACAAAGCACTCATTGACACATATCAGGAAATAGTCCAAGTTTTCTTATTGACAAATTTATATTATTTACTATGTATATATCAATAAATTATCTTCTTGGGAAGAAATCTTTAGACCTAATTTAATAAAACTCCTAATTTATATTTTGTTAGGAATATACGTCTTAGTTTTGGATTTGCTCTAACTAAAATTATGTATTTAGTGTATATTACAATCTATTTTCTGTAGCCATCCTTAGACTAGACAATTATGAAACCGGCATGATTGTTTCAAATAAAAAACGTATATTATGCCTCATTCCTTCTCATATTAGCTATATCTACTGTGGTTGCTATTTGAATAAATGCAAACATATCATATATGGAGACAAAGCTAATACTTAATCAAAAAGGGTGTATCAGGGAGATAATTTTTGGATATACCACATAGGTACACAGGAAGTGAGTCACCTTGGTGCCTTCCTTTGTCAATTCATTCACAGAGGAAAGCAACAAAGCACAGTGGGTCAGAGTGCAGGCTCTCAGGCAGACCCCTAACTTTCAGTCCCAGCTCTGCCATTTCCTGGCCGCCTGACCTTAGCAAGTTGCTTCCCTCTCTGCACTTGTTCCCTCTTCTGTAAAACGGGCGTATACAGGCCATACTTACTTCATAGGGTGGAGGGAAACTTCAGATAAACAAAGTACGTAATACAATTTCAGGTAATTACTCAATAAAGGCTATTATGGTTATTAATTTAAATCCTTTAAAAATATTTTTGTCAAAAATGTATTGCCCCTTTCTTCACTTAAATGGACAGGTAACTTTCACTGGACTAAATGATAATGTTGACTTAGTAATATCCACATAGCCAAGGGTAACAACATTTATATAAATGCAGTTGTTTTGTCACAGTGAAACTATTATTCCAAAATTCCAACAAAAATCTCAGTGTCATATATTGGTTAAATCAAAATATGACCAGTTCTAAAGTATGATGTTATAGAGAAGGGACTCTTAGAATAATCTGCTTAGGTAGCATTTTGTGGAAATCAAACACTGTCATATATTCATATACTTATTTCATCAACCTAAGTGAAGACAAATCACTATGTGAATGAATTATCATACCTTTTCATTATAATTTGATTGCTTCAGTCCATTGTAGTGGTAGACAGTAAAAGACTCCGGACCACTGGAGCCCTATTAGAAATACAGTACTATTAAAACTTTATTTTATATTTTTACATCACGCAACTTATAATAAGCCATTGAAAGTAAAATGCAAGTTTCATAAATCCTTATCCTTTGATGGGAGAATCACTTGATAAAACAAGAAACTTTGACTTATGCAGTTAACCACCAGAAAATCTAAAAGCTGAAACAGTTGCTTTTCGGGAAGTGGCTGGAAAGTGAGGAAGTATTGATTTTTGTTAGCTCTTCTACACTATTATTTTATGTTTTGACTACTTGTATGTATTACTGTAATATTTTTTAAAGAACTAGGTTCTAAGGCACAAAAATATTTACTAAAACGTATCACTTTTTTTCTCTTTGTAAATAATTTTTTTTCTCAATAAGTATGAAAAAGCAACAATATCACTTTTACTCAGACCACACAACATATATGCATCAATACTTCCAATTTGGTCCAGAGTATTGAATTAGGGGTTTCAATCCCCAAAATATCATTTGAGTATTGTGAACTTTTAAGTAATGAAGATAGAATTGTGAGAAATGAAAACACATGATTTGCTTAGAGACTTTAATAACATTCAATATAGGAAGGATATAGTATAAATCATTATACTAAACTTTCAGAAGAACCGATCATGTTTTTCCTACTGTCTTAGTCTTGGTTCTCAGCTAAAGATCAAGTTCAACTCTCTCAACCTAGCATTCAAGGTCATGCATTAATGGCCTGGCCCACTGACGGCGCCTGGCTCCGGTGATTGTTCTCAGGGCCTGTGGCTGTCTTCCTGTGCCTATCCCTTGTCTCCTGGACATATCTGATTGATAGAAGGATGGGAATGGCCAGCATCCCTCCCTAGAATTTTTTTCCAACTGGAACTAAGGGAAGAGAGCTCCTGGCAACTGTGGGTGGCTTCCATTTCCCAGAGAAAAATAGGCTGAGAAAATATAGATACTCTGGAGAGGGGAAGAATACAAGATGGAGAGACAGGCCCAGCCCTCTAAGATCCTAGTGCTGCCTTTGATGCTTCTTCAAATCCTCTGAACTACTCCTTCCAGTCCCTACCTGTCCTTCCCACTTACATCAGTGTAGGCTGAGGTTCTGCGACTTGCAACCAAGACTCCTAAAATGCAGGACCTAGTCTACCTTTTCAGTCCTATCTGCAACTATCACCTTTCTGAATTCTCATTTTAGGTGAACATATTACTCACTCTCCCATGAAATAACCTTTTTTCGTTGGTTCTTTGCATATTTATGATTGTTTTTTACTCCTCTCTCAAATGCCTTTTTCTCTTCTCTCATTTTCAAGACCTGGTTCAAACCTTACTTTTTCTGTAGTTTTTCTTTACAGAAACACATTAGTTGGATTGTTTTTAATTTGGGACCTTTATAACAAAAATTTCCTCAAAAATTAATTTGGAAATACTACTTTGTATTATTTACTCAGTTGTTATTTTGAAAGATTATTTAAAATTTTATTTTTTTAACTTTTCTTTCTTGTATTCCCACCTAAAATCCAAGCTTTCTTGTAACTTTTTTTTTAATCCTACTCACAATGCTTCACAACTAATGTTAAGAAAAATCAACAATTTATTTGATCATTTCCTCAATCATATACTGAGTCAATTCAATTAGTTACTTAGATAATTTGGCTATTGATTTTCAGAGTCAATATTCTTTAACTTACAATATAAATATTTACTATAGTTGAATATAATTTATATTCTCTAGTTCTAGTCATTAACAACCGGCATAAAATACTGAAGTATCAAAAGGTAGTTTAGTGTTGGGAAACGCCCCGTCTGGTTTCAGGGAATGTAGCCCCACTGACAGGCAACAGGCGAAAGAGCCCCAAGGCTGGAAATAATCAAGGAGGCCTTGGGAAAACAGGCCACTGAGGAGACAAAACCTGTCCCCCTGGCAGGGGTGCAGCCCCTGCCTCCCTCACATCACCCTGCTTGGCCCTGGGAGATGGCTAGTAGTCAATGATAGGTAAGATCCCTCAATGGAAGGTACAACCTAAGCTAGGCACAGCCGAAATGGGCATCAGGGAAGAATTTGGGGGACACGGAGAAAGGGCAAAAGACCCTCACCTGCTGGCTTTGATATGGCTGGAGTTCTCATTCTATCTGAAAAAAGTCTCCTTATCTCTTGGTGGCTCTACCCTGCCCATACTGGCTCAGGCTTGAAACAATACTAAAGGCAGGTACAGCCCTAAACTGGATGGGGTGGCTCCTGGGGGGATGGGCAGGGGGGAGGATCAGGCCTAGAAGTAAGTTCCTCGAAGCATGTTTTGTTCTTCCCTCAAAAGCTATGACAACTGGCTAACACCAGGAAGGAGATACGTATTATTCATAGACTCTGACCTGAGGCAGATCTCTTGCATTCCTTTCATTGTTATCTATGATCTTTATTTGTTTTCTGTAAACAGCCTTTTGACACTGATTGATGAGCTTTGTTGTATACACCTGCACATATGGTTCTCAATAAAAGCCTTTGGACATGGGGGCTTGGGGTCTTCTCCACTAGAGGGAAGTACCACCCTTCTCCTGGCAGACAGAGAGAAAAGTGTCTGGAATGACTCATTTTGTTTGCCCTCATCCATGACAACCCTGGGACAGGCTCTGTGGGATCAGAGCCCATGCTCCCACCTGGCCCGGGACAGTGACCCTCAGATCCAGGGGCCCCAGGCTCCCCACAACAGTTTAGCACAATGGTAAAGTGCTTAGTCTCTGGGGTCAGGTGATCTACACTGGACTCTTGAATCAGCCCCTTATTAGCTGTATGACCTTAAGCAATTTCTTAAATTCTCAAATCCTAAGTTTTCCTATTACCAAAACGGGAGAAAAATATTACTTAATTTATAAGGCACATAGTACTTGGTGATTAGTACATGCTTAACACATGGTAGCTGCTTCTGCTATTCTTATAAACAAATTGCTTTAAGTGCTTATGAATATTTCAAATTTTTCCCCCTGCTTCTGTCTCATACCAAAGAAATGCTCTTCCATAGCAACTACTTTAAGCATTTGTAAAGGTTATTGAAGTTACATATTTTTCTGGCTGTCTTTCTGACTCTAGTTTTGACTTAATGCATTCCTGGCTGATAGAATGTTTACCAAGTATCACTACAGGGTCTGTTAGGCACAATGAAATATATGAATAATGGCCCAAATGAATGATGGAGTCATTTTATATTTGTGACTATAGAGAAAGAGGACATCTGTGGTATGAGGTATGATCAGAAAAGTTCTGTGACACTGACAGAGGTCTGAGCTCTCGCAGGGTGTGAGTAGGTAAGAATGTGACAGGTCTTCCTCTAAAGCAGTGGGTCTCACACTTTGGCACCATCACATTACAATCCCCCCTGAGGGCTTGTTCAAACACTCTGCTGTGCTCCACCACCAAAGCTTCTGATTTACTAGGTCTGGAGAGGACTTGAGAATTTGCATTTCTAACAAGTTCTTGGAGACCACACTTTGAGAACCCATATCTCTACAGGAAACCAAGAGCAGAGTAACACATTTTGGTTGAGAAAAGAGCATGAACTACACAGGAACAATCAGATGAGTCAAGTTCAGATGCTGAGTTTGTTCAGAATAATAATAGCAGGAAATAAACAATCACTAAGGCATGAACTTGGAGAGAACAAACAGAATAACAAAATGGCAAAGTCTGTCATCTGTAAAAGAGGAGCCTAGCATTCTCTTTAGTTACCTCAAAGAATGCTAAAATTAAAAATTTAATTTCTTGAACTACTAAGTTATTAGAATAAATATAAGCAATACCATGAAATTAACTAAATATATGGTTGATATCTCACTTTGTTTACATTTCCCAATGACTTTTCAAAATCTTCCCAAAATTAAATTAAAAACAAATATTTTTATTGCTTTATATTAATAACTAAGAAATCAATACTTCTCTAAAATGTTCTGACAGCAGCCTTGAAATAAATTAATAGTAAAATTAATATTATTGTCTCAAAAAAGTTTAAAATGCTAAAATTGATCAAACATTTATTACAATATCTCAACAGTATTAGAGTCCAAAGAAGAACTTTTCAAAATACCCTAGCAGTAGAAGTATGAACAAATATGATATCACAATCTAAGCGTCTTGTTAACAATATCAGTATAAAAATCTATTTTTGCATGAAGCATTTACCAAAAATTTTTAAAAAGTCTAATAGCTATAATGTGATATCCTTAGTTACTTTTTGAATTTTCCCTCACATTTTACTCACAAATAGATGTTTAGAAAATGTGGGTTCCTTTTTTCTTTTTTAATTACCCAGATTGCTAATAATATTGTCTACTCTGTTAAAGATAACATATCTGAGACATGAAATTAACAATTGTATGCTGAAATTTAATAAATTTATCTTGACTTTATCATTTTGTTATTTTGTAAAAAACTATCCTTTTTATAGTTAAAATTATTGGGGTGACACTGGTTAATAACATTATATAGGGCTCAGGTGTACATTTCTATGATACATGATCAGTATATTGCATTGTGTGCCCACAATCCCAAAGTCAAATCACTTTCCATTACCATAATTTTGGTTCCCTTTACCCTCTATTTCCCTCAACCCCTTTCCCTGTGGTAACCACCATGCTGTTATCTGTGCCTATGAGTTTCAGTTTTATATCCCAAATATGAGTGAAATCATATGGTTCTTAGTTTTCTCTGACTGACTTATTTCACTTAGCATGATATTCTCAAGGCCCATCCATGTTGTCATAAATGGCAGTATTTCATCTTTTCTTATGGCTGGGTAATATTCCATAGTATGTAAGTACCAGATCTTCTTTTTCTGATCATCTATGGGAAGGCACTTTGGTGGTTTCCATGCCTTGTCCCCTGTGAACGATGCTGCAATGAACATAGGGATGCATATATCTTTACAAATACATGTTTTCAAGTTTTTCGGGTAGATACCCATAAGAGGATTGATTGATGGGTCATATGGTAACTCTATTCTTAATTTTTTGAGGAAACTCCATAATGTTTTCCACTGTGGCTCTACTAGTTTACATTCCCACCAGCAGTGAACGAGGGTTCCTTTTTTTCCACATCCTCTCCAACACTCGTTATTACTTGTTTTGTTGATAACAGCCATTCTAACAGGTGTGAAGTGGTATCTTATTATAATTTTGATTTGTATTTCCCTAACAGATAGTGAAAGCTTTTCATGTATCTGTTGGCTATCTGTAAGTTTTTTTAGAAAAAGTATCTGTTTGGGTCCTCTGACTATTTTTTACCTGAATTATTATTATTTATTTATTTTTTTTGGTGTCGAGTTGTATGAGTTCTTCATATATTTTGGATTTTTTTTACTTGACAATGCATCTCTTTTATAATAGAGAGAGAATAGAAATAGGCATTTCTATGGAAACAATGAACTTTAAATTATGCTGATATCTGATGAAGTGATCATAATATACCTAGTTAAATAATTTGGTTTATGGTAAATCCTCCACTTAAGTAGGAAAATACAAGAAAAGACAGGTGTAGGCAGTAGAACTGGCTTGCCTACAAAAGAGTATTTAGACTAGCACAGATTTTTATTAAATGAGCTGCTATCAGAGCTCAGTGGAAAACATGTCCCAACATGAAACAGCACAGCTCCAGTCAAAGGTTTTTCTTTGACTCACCTAAAATTCTCCTGGAACTTAGGTTCCCTAGTAGAGCTCCCACTACATATAATATATAAGCTCCTTTACCTTCTTTCTAGTATTTAGAAAGTTCAAAAAAGACACACACTAATCTATTGACACCAGTTACCTGACAGAAGGAAGATTGGGGTGACAGTGGATAAAGAAAGTCTTTCTCTTTTTACTCCCCATACTTTTTAATTTTAGAAAAAAGTTTAGAAAAACAGTATTATTACGTGTATACATTGGGGTATACACTATCTTCCATCCCTCCTCTATCTTAAAGTTCTGTATTCCCACATTGGAACACACACATTCTTCTATTCTCTCTGTATAGCCAAGTATTTACATAATACTGATGTTTTTAGTCTCATATCTGCATGTTAGAACATTTTACATCCATAGGAAAAAAAAAAAACTAAAACAGTCACAGGTGATCATCTCAATAGAATAAAACAATAAATTTCTTCAACTATGTTACCTGATCAGGAAAAAATTCTTGAAGAAACGGACCCAATAGTATGATTCCTAATCCTTCTGGATCTAATTTATTCTTCATGAGATTTATACTGTAGGGAAAGAGAAGGGCGGGGGGGGGGGGCGGGGGGAGAACACAGTGGATACCAAAAGAAAAAAAAGTTTGTTTTTCTTCTTTCATGATTAAATTTCTGGTACTATAACACTTTGACTGCCAAAAATCTTAAGAACTGTTCTTTTTAGCCTCTTAATGACATCTGATTTGCCAAAACTTGGTTATTTTTAAACCAGAGTAATCTGTTACTGTTTAAAATTTAAATTATGACGATGACTTTGGAATATTGTTCCTTATTAGGTAAAGTAATTTTAAAACTTAGGCTTATAAACACAGGCTTATAACCTCACAAAGGCCAATTCTCTTTGCTTCATAGGTATGCCTAAATTTAACAATCAAATGAGGCATTTAACAATGTTATATTAAGCTTAAGGAGAAGAAACAGTGTCAAAGGGAAGTGGTGCATCAGATAATCAAAAACATCTTCTAAAAAGCTTACTTTCATAAATCAAATGAGGTGGAGGCTTAAAATTCTTAGGTAATGTAATTTGAAGGTTAAAGAGGTAAAGATTATTCTCAAAAAGCTAAGGTATAATTGAATTACAATAAGTGGTATGTACTTCATTGTTCCAGTAACAGGCTCAACTAGACAGTGCTTTGCATAGCCCCTACCATTTAGGAGTAGCCTAGTCTGATGAAAGGTGTTATGTGTGACTAAAAGGAAGGCAGACAGAAAAAGACTGCAGTCTGAAGGATTTTAAAAATGAAAACTTTCTGAAAAGAAAATTTTCATTCTCCATATTATCTCCCAAACAATAAGTGAGAAGTTAAGTACACCTTATTATTAAACATGCAAAGGATGTGACATTTTAAAGGGTCTGAGTAAGGGCTGAAGGTTATGCCATGAAACGAATGAAGGAAAAGCCATATTATATATAATACATTTAATTTATTAATCCTAAATTTGGCTCTGCTAATTTATAGGCCATCACGTATGTTAAACTAGACTAAAGTACAGAGTGTACTTTAGAATAACTGAGTCTAATCTTTCAGCTATTTCTAGAAAAACAATTGAAATTGTACTAATTTTATTCAATGTATGTTATATATTCTGATGAAACAAGGAAAATTAAGTACTGTAGTACTTTGGTACTCGTCAATTCATTATAGAACTGTGACGAGTGCTGAAACCAATGAGTACCAAATGCATTTTTCAAGTGAAAAGTGATGACGCATTTTCTCTTGCAGGGTGGCACTGTGACTCATACAAGTTCTAGCAAGTGTAACAAGTCCTCAGCAAGTGTCGAGTGCTGAAACATTTTTTTCTCGTCAAAATGCGATGGCCACAGAGTTTGACGAGTTCTGAGGCAGGCAAGTACCAAAGTGTGACTGTAGATAATGTATAGTTATCTATGTAAGAATTTGGAGGGAAAAATTAACTTTTCCTTTTCCCTCCTTCCTGTTTTAAGAAATGTCAGTAACCAAAAATGCCTGAATTCAGTTCTCTTTTGCAAATCAGAACAATGAAAACAAGATGGTCTCCACTTGGAAATCAGTTTAGAAGAAATACACTAATTACTATTACTCCATTTACTGGACTAGTTCAACGCCCTCTGAATTTCTCCTCTTTAAGCTGGGAACAGCAATTATGCCTGTTAAGAATGGATAACATCACAGCCCTACGTAGTAAGACTGAGACATTAATTCAAATGTGATTAGTGTGTAAATGTATATATGTACTTCATACTTTCAAAGAAAATACACCTGATTTACTTAAAAATAGAATAGGAACAAGTTCTAAAAATTATGTGTATCAATATATTTCATATTGCTTTTACTGAATCCTTTCCTTAAATATTTTGTTCATTGTCAAAAAAATTTTCAGAAGGAAAAAAATTGTGCAGATAAAACAAAAGTTAGTGCAGATCATAGGCAATCTTTATTTTACTTCCACATTTGATCAATGTATGTATCCACTTAACAAGAAAGATATTCTCATGTATAATAAAGACCCCAAATTTATGAAGAAAGTTATAGATGTAACAATTGTACAAGTATAACAGTGAGACAGAAGACACATTATCACTGTTAGGTGATAATACTAACAGTGATACTTCCATACTTTCTTCCATACTTTCAATATTGAAAAACTATATTCTGTGATACTCTGGGTCACTTACAAGGTTTCAGATCAGTTAATTTAATCACCTAGAAACATCTTTGATCAAATGAAAGTCCTGCTTATTTAAGCAGGATGATTAGCAATATGGGTATTACACAGACCTGTCACTAGATTCACTGAAACTACTAAAGATGTGGACAAAATTTTTTAAATAAAAAAGGTTTATAATGAGAAACCTTTGTTAAAAAAAGACATTTTACATTTTTAGTGTATTTTTCAGCAGGACACTAAGTACACAGTGGGAAAGGGATGCTCATTTTAACTATGTGAAGTTTCTGCTATAACACTGATGAGTCTGATTTATTCATAAATCTTTGCTTTATATAAAGTGCTATGCTTCATATATGCAGACTTAGATTTTTAAAAAAGCAAAACTGTGTATGTTTTAAAGTTAATGGAATTTTTTAGTTGGTTAGATAACGCTTCCTATTTACTTACTATTCAGGATCTGAAACAAGGTCCAGTGCTTTCATCACATCTTCTAGAAGTGAATCAGGTATAAATCCATTATCTGGAAAAAAAATGGAAACAACTTTGAATACAAGTTTACTTCAAGAAATGCTATTATCACTGATCAGATTCCAGTAGGGGGGAAAATCACATAAAAGGGATACAAAGAGATAAGAAACAGATTGTTAAGTTTATTTTAGGTACAATGACTATTATTATTAGACATTTCCTTATATTAGTTTTCTTGGGCACATAGACAAAGATTTATTTTCAAGGCTAGTTTCTGAGAACTTGAAGGAAACCTCAAAGCCAAACTGCTTTTTAAAACAGGCCTATAAGTTTAAATGATAAAATATTTTTTCTACATAGCTATAACAAATATTTAGTAATTAGGTATATCTTTCAACAATGTGAACCTTTAAATTCCCTTTAAGAAATCAAGTTAAAATAATTTTTGACTAATACATTCCTTTCATTACAATGTTATTTAACTTTCTGAAGAATGTTAATGATCCACCAATATTTAGATAACTGACAATGTAAGAACAGCAAAAGATATCCTTATAAAAGCCCTGATTTAAGTAAAAGCTGTAGCTTTAATGGGAAAAAATTCAAAGTTGAAGTGCAGAGTAGAATCAAATGTTGATAAAGACTAGCTTATGGAAAATATTCCTTTTCTTGGACTTGATGTGGGAATAGCACTGGCAAATAGCTCAAACTCTTAATGATGCAATAGAATGTGACACAAAAAAAGCTTGCAGGACAGTTTGAAATCACAGTAGTTTTAAACGAGCAAGTTGTTCATTCCTTTAAATGTACAATGCCTGAGTTCTTCTACTCTTTTACTCATTCCTGAAGACTGTCTCAGCTTTAAATCAACTTCTAACACAATATTCTTTACAGGAATTAAACACTTTTTAAAACAAAACAAATCGTGTCATGGAGACCATGATGTCCAACTTCTATAATCAAATAACAGAATAAGGTGTAGTTGCTCTTCAGTATGTGGCATCTATTCTGTCTCTATCAGGAAGGAAATAAAGTTATGATTTTTAAATGATGTTTTCTCAAACCTCATAAGCAGATGTTTACCCATGTGAAGACAGACTGGCCTTGACTAAAAGGCTAAGATTCATTTAGGGTAATTAAAAATATACAATTTTTAGGGAAACAAATGGGACTACATCAAACTAAAGCTTTGCGCAGCAAAGGAAATCATCAACAAAATGAAATGACAACCCCCTGAATAGAATATATTTGTTGATACATCTGGTAAGGGATTAATATCCAAAATTTATAAAGAACTTTGAAAACTCAACGAAAAAAAAACAAAAAACAAAAAACAACAACCCAAAAACAATGCAATTAAAAAAGGACCTAAATAGACACTTCTCCAAAGAGGACATAAAGATGACCAACAGTCAAATAAAAATGCTCTAAGTCACTAAGTGTCAGAGAAATGCCAATTAAAACCACAGTAAGATATCACCACACTCCTGTCAGAATGGTTATCATCAACAAATCAACAAACAAATGTTGTGAGGATGTGGAGAAAGGGCAACCTTCTGCGCTGTTAGTGGGAATGCAGACTGTTGCAGCCACTGTGGAAAGCAGTATAGAGTTACCTAAAAAAATTTAAAGGGAACTGCCTTATGACCTAGTGATTCTGCTTCTGGGAATTTATCCAAAGAAACGTGAAACACTAATTTGACAGAACATAAGCACCCCTATGTCCACTGCAGCATTATTTACAATATCCGAGATATAGAAGCAGCTCAAGTGTCCATGAACAGAGTGGATAAAATAACTATGAGACATTTACACAATGGAATATTACTCAGCTGTAAAAAAAAGAAAATCTTACCCTTTGCGACAGGATGGATGGACCTGGAGAACATTATGCTAAGTGAAATAAGCCAGTCAGAGAAAGACAAGTACCATATGGTTTCACTCATTTATAGAATCTAATGAACAAAATGAACTAACAAGCAAAATAGAGACAGACTCATAGACAGAGAGCAGGCTGACAGCTCTGGGGGGATGATGTTGGGGGGAGTGAAAGGATTGAGTAAAAGAAAAAAGAACTCACAGGCACGGACAACAGTGTGGTGACTGCAGTGGGGGGAGGTGGATGGGTAGAGGTGGAAGCAGATTTGAGGGGATAAATGGAAAAAATATAATAAAATAATGTAAAAAATGTACAATTTTTTAAAAGTGAAGGTTTAGAATACTTCCAATTTGTCAAGTTACCAATAGTTTGAGGTACAGTGAATAATGAACTTGTATCAAGCTCCATAAGCCTAACTTTGATGAGTCCCAAGCATAAAAAATATTTTTGCTTAGTTAAGTCACAGCCAAAAAGCTCAGCATCTCTGAATGAAAACCGGCTTCATTTGGCCACTGGCAGGCAGGCACAGTTATCTGGAACAGTTTCTGTGCCTACAGGCTACCCTGTGTATCCACCTGGCCTGAGAGAAGCAGTGTGCGTGACCTTGTTCTTCAGGGGGATTGAATGGTGGCAGCCTTATCTAGTCTCACTACAGGCTGAGACTCAGCTCCCACCCCCCAGAGAGAGCTAAACTGGCTGAATAAAGACATAAACAACAGCTAGGAAAACAATGAAGTTCCCTTCTTGCCTCAAATATGATTAACCTCAAGCTTAAATATTCCACACATTTTTAAGATACCTATGAGATTTACAACTTGTAAAAGCTCTCTGGAGTACAGCAACAACTATACCGAACCAGTACATTTGGTACATATGGTCTTTTAAAACTAAAGATTGTAATATAATTTTCTCAGTACCTCCAAGACTTTATCCAAGATTAAAAGAGGAGATCTGGAAACTGCCTACCTCTTTGAAACATTTATTTTGATGTTACTTTAATCATACCTATTAAGAAAAATTCTTGATAGAATTCTTGAAAAAGAACAGGCCCTGGATGGTGTGGCTCAGTGGATTGAGCGCCAGCCTGCAAACCGAAGTGTCGCAGGTTAGATTCCCAGTCAGGGCACATGCCTAGGTCGCAGGCCAGGTTCCTGGTAGGGGGCACGCAAGATGCAACCATGCATTGCTGTTTCTCTCCCTCACTTTCTCCCTCCCTTCCCCTCTCTAAAAATAAATAAAAAAAAAATGTTTTAAAAAACTCTTGAAAAAGAACAGAATCATTAAGTCTAAAACCAGACGAAACTAGTATTTAGTCAACTGATTCCTTTGAGAATACAGAAATGCAGATGCAATGATAATAAAGACCTCAATACACGGCAAAAATAGCAAAAGAAATCTAAGAGAGTACTATTGGTTGACTAGCAGACCTAAGGATCACTAACAGAAAACTTCGAACTTGAATGCATGGATAAGTTAACCACATGAATATAAAACAGACTTTTACTGGCTTCAAAGCTTACAGGAACAGGGACTCTGAGAGGGGAGAACTAAGGAACGCACGGCAGTTGTAATGGTAAGCAGCTACTGTGTCAACATTAGGATACAGTTAAATTGTGTTTTAAAACCCTTGAAAAACAGGAAAAAAGCTGTTTGTTTAAATAAGTGTGGTTTTTTGTTTGTTTTTTTTTAACCAGCAATCGAATCATGAAAACGGCCAACCTCCTAGAGGTTGAGAGGAGAAATATCTCAGTGCAAAGGAGCAGCAATGCAGAGGAGTGAAAATTAGGTGAATTTGTAATTTCCTGGGTAAGAAAATCATGCCATAATTGTGCAGAAATCAGACTTTATGGAGAAAGAAGTAGCAGTCATAGTGTCCCTTCTGAGAGATGAGGGAATACAAGAGAGAGCCTGAAGGGGAAAAGCCAGTCAGATCCCTTTCAACTGAGGCACTAAACTGGGGGCTGCAGGAAGAAAGCAAATGTCAGGAGTAGCAGAGGGCACGAAACAACTTGTGAAGAGACTGAGGGGCCAAACATTTGGGACTGTAACATTTTCAAACCACTGTAGGAAAGAGAGAGTAAAGTTTCTAGGGAATAGAAAAGAAAATAAAAAATTAGTTGCCATTTGTTTTAGTCAAGTAATTACTGGTTATTTTATTTTTACTAAATGTTGTATTATACTTTACCTATTATTTTAAAATTTTAATAACATATGTCTACAATTCAATATAACTCTTGTTGAAAAAAGTATGTGACTTTCTCCCCTAGGCAAAGTTAAGACATTTTCATATTTCAGCCTTCCTTGGTCTCTTTGCCTTAGTATTCTTACTGGTTTGCTCAGCTGACTCCCGGTAGATGAGGAAGCTCCTGGATGGCAGGGATTCCTAAGTCCATTGCCTAGCGCTGTGCCTGACACAAATAACATTTGTTACATTTAATTATTCAAGCTAATCCTCACTTCAAGTTTCAACAAACTATTCTGTTTAAAAACCATGGTTTTTCAAAACAGCTTTGTGAACTGAATGTATGAAGTTCAGAAAGAAATGAGTAGTTAATTTCTGGCCTGTCCTGGAGGGTTCCTTCTATCACGGATGAAAAAACATACAAAACAAGGTTGTAAGGCACAAAATACTACGGCTGGGGCAGCATGAAAGAAAGAGTGATTACAACGCTGCAGCAAAGTGAAGAATGGCAGCAGAAAGGGAGGAAAGGGAGGCAGCAAGAGTATAGAGAAGGAAATAGTATTGGTTAAAAGGAATAGAAAAGACTGAATTAAACAAAAGGAAATTTCTAGATAATGTCTAAGGATTGATGTAATTCAAACAATCCATAAGTAAAACTATTCTTCAAGATTAAAAAATGCAGCCCAATGAAATCATTCAGACAAAGGATGGCTCTCAATATATTTTAGCCACTTTAAAGTAGTATTTAAAGGGCTCCTTTTAAATCAAAGTATGTTTTCTTCACTCAAATAGGGTTGCTTTCTGAGATGCAATTCTGTAAGACAGAGAAAAATTTTTTAAAAAGGAGTAAACAAATTAAAAAACACCCATTAGGTGCAGTGTGAAAACCTGTGCCTATCATTTCAAATTCTATGTAGAATTCTCTGTCTTTGGACATTACTGAATAAGCTCTATGCCACAGATTTTTTAATTTTTTTATAAAACAATAATA